TTCGTCTTCGATTATGCTTTATGAACTGTCCTGAGCGTTTCCTGAAAATTTCCTTGAGTCAGCATGAGATTTGATCGAGATATAAGGATTTTAATTTTTGCTAGCAACAGGCGAAAAACCGGTTTTTCATAAAAGTGCTTCTGGCGAAGTTATTATCATTTCTACACAAAAACAAATGTTGCTGCTATGCTCAGCGTAGTCGATTACCTATATTCCATGGCATTTTGAGATTCCCAGAGATGTCTGCTCGGAGATAGACACGCGTTCGAGGAAAGCGTGTCCTTTCCGAACGACGGTAGCTGGAGAGCCGGGACTTGCATAATTTTGTAGAGTAACGTCCGGACTATGCACGCATGCAAAAAGGTTACTAACATTGTATGTTAGTTTTCTGAGAACGAAGCTAGTTTTCCAAAGATCCTTTGAAAAAAATGATCTTCATAACTTGTTAAAGGCATATATGACTGAAACTGATTTTTGTTATACATGTAATCGTCAGTTAGTATCAGTACATTTGGATCGAACAGGCATCAAGCATAAATCATCTGATCATCAACTTCATGATGTTGGAGAATATCATGACTATGGTCGCCAGTAAGTTTTGATCATTACAGTATAGAACACGATTAGAAAGTTTAAAAATTGATAACATGATTTCTGGATGCCACTTCGGATGGTGCTGCGAACTGGTATGCTCGACGTCGCCTTCTTCTAATGATGGTTATCGGTCCCGATATGCGCCAATTCGACTTTAGGGATATATCTTATCGAGGAATGTGTTTGACTGAATCTGATCTAAACCAATATAGCGTCGGAACGAAAATAATGAATAAAGCGTTTCTCTCAACGAACAAAGACCGACAAAGAGCCGAATCATTCGCGTCACATGGTATCAATCACTGTCAAGATGCTTATGGGGAAGAAATTAAACTGGTGCAGATATGAGCTTATGTGTGATTATGGTTCAGCTTTAGATCGAAACAATTTCGGGGTATCCAGCGAAAAAGAAGTTTCTCGCGCCGTATACACCATCTGATGTGATAAATATTCACGTTGAACGGCAGATACCTGTAAAATTGATGTGGAAATAGAACTAAGAGCAATTGACTTGAGTCTGCTGCGTCCAATTTGAATCCTGTTACTGGTACCGACTTGCCTTGGAATTAACTTTCTTTCCCAGAAAAAGCGAAAGAGTAACGATTTGTCATGCTACAATTTGAACGTCCAATTTGGACTGCAGCAGATGCGCGACTATTATGCTATTCTATTTTCAACCGTAGTATCCATTTTTGAAAATGATGAAAATCGCTGTGTACTTAAACTCAATACACAATGAAAATCGAGCAAATACAGTATTATTATTTTATTATGTTACTCCTATTAGTGCTTTAAGAAGTTTACATATTTTTTGCAATTAACTGCTTGACATAATACACACATGCAGGTGTATAATATGTACTTGTGTTATGACCGTTGTAGGAACAGACAAAAAGCGGACATTTAACGTTTACTGTTTAATTTTATAGTTTTCTTTCGCTGTCCTCACTACATGTACCTCACCTTGTTTTTCTCCCTAATCCCCGACCACCATCAACCATTATAATAATCAGGCACTGACAGGTAGTTAGAAGCAATATTAAGTATACGGTCTATAAACTTATGGGTAGTAACGAAGTAAGTTCACTACTCTTTCCTAGATGTGTTAATAATCCTGTTTGTGTCTATCATGTGTATGTATGTGGTTTTATGTTTTTTGTTTTAAACTAGTAATCGTTATTGTGATAAATTAAGCTTATTTGAATGCTGAAACAATCCAAAAGACGAGCTCATACACGCAATTGCCTCTTTAAACGTTGGTCAAACGAAATGCGGAAGTTTTCACACCAAAATGAAAAGATAAAGAGCGACAAAGATTTTGTCATAGATACCGATGATAATGATAGTGATGAGGTTTCTTTGCTGGTAGAATTCGGTTATCCGACATTGGTAATTTATTTGACTTTTGTCAGAATCATTGCAATTCAAAAAACTTTACGTAATTTCATGTATTTGACTCTGAAATGGTATGAGAATAGACTGTATTCTCTCATTCCGATTCCAACATAAACTATTATTATGACTCTTAGAAGCCATAATCCACAACAGGTAACGATATTACGAGGAAATAAATATTTACAACAGACTTTTATTACATCGTCTTGTAAAATGTGAAAGGGTTTATCAAATGTAACAAAAGAATTAAAAAGCTATTCGACTTTCAAACTTTTTACTTTAAAAATATATATCAGAATGTTTCAGTCACCAATCACATTCACTGACCACAAAACTAAATCCATGGTTAGGGAATTTACTTTGTTATCCAATTCTATCTCACTGTTAGAACGAGAGGCGTGAGAAGCATTGGCCGAGAGGGATTGGTGCATGCCAATTTTTCTAAGGTTCTTGTGTATCAAGAAAGTAATTATGCTGACAAAACACTATTATAGGTATATGATAGGCCAAGCAATGTCTGGATGTACATAAGCTAAAAGAGAATGTAAATAAATGGCTACTTCTCATCTAGGTAAGTATTGAATTCATCGGTTAAGGTTGTACACGGCAGAGATCTACGGTGTCTTCTCGATGCGATAAATAGACAACACTGCGTAGACCATACACGTTTCGCAAAACAAACATTTTTTATCGGATTTTAATTTCGTGCGTCGTGCAATCTCAGCTGTGTGCAAATGTTTACTAAGTTATACCTTATGCGGAAAAATATTGTGTGGACTCGCACAATACATCATATACAACGGATTTGTTCTCTTTTTTTATTGTCAAAATTACAAATGAAGAGCTGATAGTAAAAGCCAACTTAATGATCTTGAATATCGACTTTAGATACCTAACATTTATGTTGACTTTCAGTATTTTTTACATTAAATTAGGTTTCTTACGCTTATTACTGATCAACAGTTCGCCTGTAGACTGCTTTGGATGCACCAAAACATTATAGTTTTATCATTAATGTATTATCTGATGTTTTAAAAGAAGCACCTCTTTCGCTCATCAAATATGTTGTTCTAATGGTTAGTGGTGAGATAAATCGCAGATGAAAATTGTTTATAATATTGTACACGAAACCGAATTTTTCTTACGAATAACAATGTGTTGTTCAGGAATGATCGGCGTTTTTCGATTGATATTAGACTTTTTGTACAGAGCTATATTACGCTCTTTCAGATCGCGAGTAATGTCACTAATCAAACTCCATACGTCATCAACTGTCTTATTAAATAAATTTGCAACCTTACTTTTTTTTGTTATCCAAAATGACTCATTATTAGAAATTGTATAAAGCCAACCCAAACCTTTATCATCTTTCAACGATGTAATTATACCATAAATGAGTTCATTGATACCACAAATTTTTTCATCAACTCCTAATTCATTATCAATATATTTTTCACTATTAACCATTGCCACTAAAGCGTTGTTATCGCCATAATATGTAATACCATCTTCTTCTTTTGTTTGTTTTAAGTATTTTGATAGAATTTTGTTGAAATCATCTCGAATATTGTATCGATTCGTACTTATCCACATATTTGTGCATACCAAAGCGACACATATTTGTTCATCTAAACATGCTTCAATTAGCCATTCCAATTGTGGAATTTTAGTATAGGAACCGGGACTCGCACAATATATCATACACAACGGATTTGTTCTCTCTTTTATTTCTTTTACATACGACTTCACTTCATCCTCTGTCCATGAGTCAATATCGGGCGGTTCACAAAAATTAGTTTGAAATTTAGTGATAAACACCTTTGATTCAATATAATGAGAATCATTAAATGTGTAACATGTTATGGTTTTTGCACAGGATTCTAAAATACTACTTGTCTCAATCATTGTTCTATTGCACAAAGCATTTATCAACGTCGATTTACCAGCACGTGCTGAACCACACAGCATAATGTTATATTCGTGGACATTTTCATCAGACATCAGTACAAGAATTCTACAACAGAAAAAGTGCATAAATAGTCGGGTATAGTATATTGACTATCGAAAAACCCATTAATCGCCTTTGTTGTTTGGTAAAGTTGTCGGTCACCTTTTGTAATCAAACAGAAGTCCGCGGTTTATTTGATTAATTAATACAAATAATTTTGTTTTCGCGATAAAATTATGACTTTCTTAAGTAACACATATTTAATGGTAGCTCACCCTAGAGAATGTACTTGATGCAAGTACTTGACTATTTGCTAAATACTTGGCAAGTACTAGGAAAAATTGGCAAATGTTTTCAAAATTTCTCACTTAATATGCATTTTCAGAAGTACTTCTCAGTGATTAAAATACTTGCTTTTATTGCTAAGAAGTACTTTGTGAAAGCCCTTGGCAGCTAAGAGCTTTTCTATCATCCTAAACTAAAAAAGTATGTTTAAGAGCCAAAATGATTTTTCTGTTTGATCAAAAAATCAAAAAGTGTTTTTTAGAAAGACTTGAAGGGACTTTCTAGGTTTGGTAAAAACTCGAAGAATTTTTTCCTAAACGCATTTAGTTTAGGGAAATATCGTTTTGGGTTTTTCAAGTAGCGAAGGATTTTCCAGTTTGACCAAAAAATGAAAACATTATTCACTACTTATAAACACTCTTTTTCAAACTAAAACAGGGTTAAAATCACCAGTTGCTTGGATAACACAAGTTAGGACCGTTCGCCACTATCTATTTACATGAATACTATACCTATACTTAGGAAAACGTGTTTTCTTTGTGGACTTCAGACATAGACTAGTATAAGTTCACAAAGTGAATATTAAGTGACAATAGAGAAACACTCGAATAATATTACCTTGAAAACAATCCAATTACTTGCAATTTTACTTGACAAGCGCTTAAACAAGTGCTTGTCAAGTGAAAAAACAAGTACTTGCACGCTGGACAAGTACTTACAAGTAAATTTACTTTTAGAGAAAAGACAGGTACCGGCTTCATTATGCAAGCGGAGTACTTGTCCCAAACACTTGGGTACAAGTACGTTCTCTAGGGCAAACTATTTTAGTCTAGCTTTTCGATAGGCAAATGTTACGTTACATGATATTACTTTTATGTATCAGTTTAAAGTTTACCGATAAAGAAAGTAAAGCCATATCTTGCTGAACGTTTCAACAGCAATAAATGATAATCTCTAGCATAATGAACCATAAAAAGTGACATAATCGATAGAGGAAAGTGAAGACATATTGAAGAAATCGACGCGACCTAATTACCTTTTTCATGGATTGATGTATAAATCGTTTTTTCTTATGAATTAGATTAATTTCATGTTTTTGTGCTTTTTACTTTAGAAACGTGTGTTGTGTAGAAGAAAAAAACATTTTATATATATATATATATATACGTTACTGTGGAAATTGAAAGCTCATGGAATTTTAAATTTCACTAGCAGAAATCAAAATTTCAATTGCAACTAGTGCAGATTAAAATGGAGATGTTTGCATATGTGATGCAGTATTGATTCTAATAATACTTCGGAGAGAAAATGTTTGTTCACAAAGTATGGGAACAAGCTTATGACACTCGGAGAACATTTGTAAAGGTGAGAGCGAATGACGAAACTACTTGCGCAGAGTAACGATCTCGAACGATCATAATGTAAGATTTTCAACATGTTTACATAATGTTTGTTTATTGGTCCTGCGGCCATTACTCTTTCGCTAAATTTTCAAAATATTTATTATGCTCAACTGCTACAGTATAGATAAAATATCTTACCTGCGTCCTATGCGATAGGGATTACTTTAGGTCGCTGAGTACCAGTGTTAAAGGAAAGGAAACCATACACCACATTAGAAACACTAAAAATCCAGGCCTCGCTTGATTTACATTTTGAAGTGGACAGTTCAAGCTATCTACTTGTCTTAATACAGTCATTAAAATCCCACTGTCCAGCTATTAATATCCATCTATATGTATTTCGGCGTATCTGTCAGGATTTTTCTTTTCAGATAGAGGAGGAGGATGTGAGAACATGAGTCGAAGTCGAATAACTTAGCTACAAGCGATGTTACATCACAATTTCCTCGACATTTGAGAGACTAGTGGGTAGTAGTTTGATTTTAGTGTGATTTTGGTGCCGTTTTTCTACTTGCTCTTGAGCATTTGTACATCTGCAACTCGTAGCCGTGAACATTGAGTCAGAAATGGAATTATTTTAACACTACTGAACGGTTATTCAAGATCAAAAACAAAAGGATTCTTTTTCTGGTAGGAATTTTTGAAAATATAGATCTTCTGGCCGTACCCCGATTAATTTACAAAGATTTTTTTAAAGACTCCATTCGAACAACAAACAAAGCATAGTAAGATCTTCCTTGGGTGACATCATTTGACCGAATTGAGTGAAATCACCTTCCTGTATTTGTCCAGAGAAGTCAAACAATCGAAAAACTTTGAAATTTTCGCATTTTTTACGTCAAGTAGTCTCTAAACTAGAGGTGTGTAGGATGGTTACCACGCTCCTTTAGTGGTGCATGACTTCGTTATTCATCAGAAAGGATGTATGTCTGTTTCTTTTGTATCTGGATATGGAGTTTTTGAATGATAGAAAAATGAACGTTGAACGAATGATCCCTATTTTACTCCTGTTTTCTAATGTGTAGGTGTAGGGTAGGGTGTCGGATGCCAACTGTCTGAAGTCAATAGTGTAGGGCGGGTAGGGTGTGAAAGCTAATAAGGTAGAATAGGATAGCGTACGAGAAATTTTTATAGGGTAGGATACAGAGTACAAAAAACTTGTATCCTGCACGCCCCTACTCTAAACTCACGTTTGAACGTTACCTACCTGTCTAGGATTGCTGAAACGGATAGTTATCTACTATTAACGAGAATTTTGTTTTCTTGCGTTGTCTCTGGCAGAATATTTTTAACGTGCAGTCAATCAACTTTTTTCTTTTCGAATGAACTCTTCGTCTCCGTATGAAAAGAATATCTTTTATGTAAGCATGGGTATTTGTGAAGAAAAGGAGAAGAAAAAAAGCTATTCAGAAGACATTATGAATTTTATTTCATGTGCTGATGTAAAAGTGCGTTTTTTCTCGTGACACAGTCTCAAACATCAGTTTCTTTAATCCGTCAGTAGAATAATAATGAATGACTAATCTCAAAATATCTAATTTTAGATTTTCAGCGCAGAGTAATGCGCACAGTGGAAACATGATTGAAAACACATTATATTCAATATTGTTTATCATTTTTTGAATTATTTAAGTTAACCTATTCCATTATCTTTGCGTAACTCTCAGATCTTGGTAACGTTTCAACTGTTGTGGTTGCATATTTATTCGAGATAAATAAGTTTGAGCGTTTGTGATGAGAGACGGTCTCCTGTTATGAAAGTGGATTTAGTCATTTGTCAATAAACAAGAAGAAAGCCAGCTCAAAACGTTACATTGTGCAGAAATTATACAGCTTTTACTAAATGTTTCAAAACTACACAAAAAGCACGATGATTTCTTCGAAAATTCGAAATCAAGAAATTGTATTACGTTACACGTGTTGGCGCGAAAATGTTTTTTTGCTGCTGAGAGATAAAGCTTCTCAAAAGAAATAAAACGGATAGGTAAGTTTTTCGTATCGGAAAAGAATAAATTAAATAAACAACAGATTTCTTGGATAAATAACATGTCATCTTGACTTTTGCGGAACTTTTTTTACAATTCCGAGATTTGTTAAGAAAATGTTTGATAGAAGAACACAATGGCAAAGTTTCTAGTCATTAACGACATCCATATCATCTTGAGAAAAATGAAAAATATGAAGACAGACATTTTTACTATAATCCACTCATTACAAAATTTCAACGAGAACTGGGAGAAATAGTTCACTACACACGAGTAGGTTCCAAAGGAATATCGAATCCATTACGCCATGCAACACTACTGTGAGATTTGTTAATAGAAATCAATATACAAAAATGATACTAAGACTAAGCATTGGTTATATCAAACGTTCATGTCAAAAATTTACGTCTGCATGCCTTAGTTGACTTCTTAAAGAAAAAGGTATTCTTAAATATATTTATTTTTTACTTCCGAATGACAGAAACTTATGCTTATAAAACTATTTAAAATAAAAACAGATCACATTCATGAACAACGTGACCGTTTGAATCATTCGTCTGTTTGAATACAATCACACGTTGTTAGTGCCCGTTCTTCTTCGAACCAGATTGCGGCGTCACTCTTCCTCTTCCATCATACACAAACTTTTACTATATATAATAAACTATCCATATATCCTGTGATTCTAAGCGCCGCCAGTTTCCGCTAAAATTTGAATGAACAACGGCATAGAAGCGATACATTATGATCCATAGAGGGCAAAGATCCCAACAGACATAATCGTGCAATAAACTAATAGTTCAACTTTTCTCCTTTTCTCACAAAAAGGTAAAAGTATCATTTTTAAAAAGAAAGAATAAAGACAGGTAGACAGAACGAGCAAAACTATTCATTATCATTGTACTTATAGTTTGCATAGTTAAATGCATCAGATATCTTTATTTTATTTTCTTCATCTATTGTCATTATTCTTTCATTCTCATTTATAAAAGCGTTTAACTTCAGTCGTCGGTATCAAGGTTCTGCGTTAGATTTATTCGCTTGCAATAGGTCTTTATCAGCTTCACATTAGTGATGATTAGTATCATCGTGCTCCAGCTTGATCTGAAATAAATGTGTTATAATCCATTCTACATTATTCTTAGTTATTTGACATACACTGACGGTGCGTCACTCAGTTACACCTTCTCATCAGAAGCATTATATCGTTATGGCAGGCAACTAGCATTTATCATCATTAAGGCCCGCTCCCGTCTGAAACATAATTTTGTTTATAAAAAGTCGATATTGAGCTAAGCACACCATCAGATAGCCCGCAGTTATATTCAGTTATGTTATGTCATTTCACTTTGAACCACCAGCTAGTAGCATACCAGCAAT